CGACCGTCGACTTCTCATTCCACGAATTCAGGATACCCCGGTCCGATTGGACCATACCGTTAGATTCCGTCTTTTAGATGCTCTACGTGCAATACCCCCCCGGCTGGATATACCCTGGCGTACAAATACCCGATCCTATGATCATGCATCGGTCGGCTCTGCTTTTTATCGATTTTACCCACCCATCTGCTTTATAGTTTTGGTCTCATCTCTATTCATTTCACGATTCGTATTCGATGCTTTTTCTTTTCTTTGCTTTTCTTTTCCCACTATTCCCCTCGAAGGCAGCCTGGCGAAGGTTGCGGACGAACTGACTTGACGCGTATATCCACGAGTACATCTGGACATGATACCACGAGCTGCGCCAGGCGGTTATTACGGCGTTGCAGATTGGAGCGGGAGGACGCCGTCGGATGATACCACAGAAAAGCATACAAAATTTGAAAGAGCTTGGGCAGAAAAATACCAGATTTATTGCGTTTTTTTTCAGTGGCGTTGGTTTTATATGGCTTGGCATTTTGTTCGGAGGGCACCCATCAGATATCCCACACGGCCATGATGCATTCGAGCACGAAGAGCGCCCGAGACAAGTTTTATCGAGATGGCCTCAGCCATTTTTCTTCACGAACATGATGCAGGCCGGAAAGGAGGGAGTGCGGATTGGGAGGTTAAGATTGCAACATGGGCAAGGGAGGATGGACAGGCGGAATACCACGATGGACGAATGATGGTGTAGCTAGCAGGCTATGATTGTACGATATCACAGAGATGATAGGCAATGATACCCTCTGTTTCTGAGCAACGTGGATGTTTGGTGTTGTCTGACTTTCTAACTTGCCTAACCCAAATACGGGGAGACTGACTCTCGCTGATTGGGTTACATGTTTGGTTGTCTGAGTTAGATGGTCGTATTGGCAGTGGAAGAAGTCTATTCAGACCAAGGCGGCAAAGGGGAAAGGGGGAGGTGCAAAAGGGGTTGATTGGACAATCTGTCAATCTCTGCCAGACTCGTTTTAGGGGGAAGGTCACGCGAGCAGGGGTTGACATATGGAAAAAGGAAAGAACTTCATCCCGTCTACCATTTGTCGGGTATGCACTGTATATCCCGACTCTACCTGACCAAGTTGTCGGAAGTAAACAGGTACTTGATACGTCAAATGGAAGTTACAAGCGTACTAAACTAAGCGTAAGTAAGGTACGTAGGTAGGTGCAAGATATAGGTGTATGGATTTGCACGGCAGGTATATACTGTGCATCAAGTACATTGAAAGGAGGCAGGTGTAAGTCGGTAGGCAGGTATGCTGGGAAAATAGGAAATAGTCAGTTCTAAGATGTAATGCGGTTTCCCGCTAGTTTTGGTTTGTTTTTTAATTTATTCCCTCATCTTCCGTCCTTTCCTCTATCTCTCCCTTACATCTTTTCAATCTGTTTTATCTCATCTCCGTTTCGGGAAGCCCCGTCGGTTTGCATCCCGAGTTTCTTCACTCCCGTTCATTTCTCACACCACGTTGGCCGTTCCGCGCGCTACTTGACCTCATCATCGTCAAACGGTCAAGATACATTACCTTAGACATACACACATATCACATAACCCGCACGTTACAAACGACAACAATCGTTTATAACAGCAGACCTAGTTTGCCTTCAGTCACGCTTTAAATCCCACATTTCCCGGGTTAATAGAACCTTGGATGCGTGTGTTGTCTTTTCTGCACCCCGCCTTGATCCAATACCACCCTACATAACCATACCTAGCACACCAGTCATTCTCCTTCCCATCCCAGACCGCTTCAGCCAATCACAGAGATCAAAGAAGTCGCACAGCAAAGATTCGACCACAATGCCGGATTCTCCCGTCGGCGCCGGCAGGGCCGACAAAGCCACCTCGTCATTGTCGTCGGACGAGGAGTCCCTGCTGAAGAAGGTCGTTGCTATCGCCGAGAACGCCGTGGACGACACCGAGGACCTGCCGCCGGAGAGGGAGCTGGTCGAGGTCAAGAAGAAGAGCAACGGTTACAGCCGAAGACACGCCGTCGACGGCAAGCTCGCCAAGATCCGCGAGCTGGTACCGTTCCCGTTCCACCCTAACGTCCGCCCGCTGACCATCTCGGACCTCGAGAGCTGCGTCGCGCTGGAGGATGCCGCTTTCGCGAACCCGGCGCACCGATGCACTAGAGAGAAGGTATGTTTCTCTTGCTCATTATCTTCATCCCCTTTCTAGCACTCGATCGTTTTTTCAACATAGGATATATGTATTTCAATCATCCCTACTAATTAATTGAAATTCATTCTTCACCGCTCATGATTCCACTTCACATGATTATTTCTCAAATAGCATCTATCAATATCTATTCCTTCAGCTTTCATCCAATTTAACTCGCATAAATCTACCATAACTAACTCTTAGCTAGTTCGAATACCGCCTGTCAGCATGTCCCGAGCTATGTCTTGGACTCTTCTGCACCATGACTCCCGCCAGCGCCGAGAGATTTCAGATTAACACATTTCCGCCAGCGCACCCGGTAGAGACGGGCCGCAGTGATGGCGCTAGAAGTGTCCTAGTAGCTCACATCGTATCAACGAAATCGCATTCCGATGTTGTGACTGACGCCGCAATGGACTACCCTCGAGACTTCCGCACGAACAAGCACAGGAAGTCCGAGTTGGGTCATCAGGATGATGGACAGACCATCTGCATTCATTCGCTGGCTGTCCACCCCAAGCTTCAAGGGTACCATCTCGGGATGTTGATCATGAAGTCGTATTTACAACAACTGAAGAATGCAAGTTTAGCGCAGCAATGCGCGCTCATCTGTCAGGATGTAAGTGGTTTTTATTTTTCCGTATGCCCCCCCCCCCCCCCCCCTCCTCTTGTATTAACGGTTTTCCGCCACAGTATCTAGTCGACTTCTACGAGAGATTCGAGTTCCACCACAACGGACCAAGCGAGGCCGGCTTCGGCGGCGGAGGTTGGCACGACATGAGGCTCAGCATCGAGACCGTGCCGCCGTACGTCGTGAAAGCGACAAAGCGAAAATAATTTCTCCGCTAGTTCGAATTGCCTCCCTGGACAGGAGCAGAGTTTCAGTTCTAGATCAGCTAGAGGTTGCTAGAGGCATGACGTGGCAGTTGTTGACCTCTGAGACGACGGAGTTAGTGCGGACAGTCAGACGAGATTCACCCTTGCGTGCACTCACATTCACACAGGCAACATTTTGCGAGCCTCAAGACCCAATCAGAGGAAGGACAGCCGATAAGTTCCGGAACCCAACATACGATTCGTTTCATGATGACGAAGCATAGTTACTTTGCTACGAATTTACGATGATTTCTCCTTGCAGCATAAGCACATACATACATACGAGTTCGGCGTTGCATTTCTGAAATAGACGGTGGTGTGGTACGACGGAGATAAAGGTGTCGATGGGAATATCGACGGATATGGGGGCGGACATACGGAGAGATGGTTCGGTAGATTTGCTACTTTTTACGAATTGCATTTTTCTTCTGTTAGGTGGCATTACCTCGTTCGAAAATGTCTATGGCGGTAACCTATCGTCAAATATCGTAGGTTGATGCTGCCATTGGTTTCCCGTGACATGCCGCAATGTGCTATGTGCAGCGAATATTATATGATGTGCTCTAACCAAATTGAATGCAACTTGGGATAGAATAAAATCATTCTTCGCCAATAGGATTTACAGCAACAATACAGTGGTTACCCGAAATAGTGTCCCAAGGCCAAGGGACCGGGTTGGGCGATTAGGTGCAGCGTGCATGTTTCTTGTGTACGGAAGCAGGTAGCGATACATTGCTGCCTTTTTGCATTATACCCTTCATTCCAATTCGACTCCCTGGGTTGGTTCTAATATCTCTGAATGGGAAGAAGTGTAGAACTCAATGTAGAGTCTACATGTATCCTGAGTACCTAGGTTGTCTCTATATGCGATTATACGGTAGCCGTCCCCTTTTCTCCCTCCTTACTTTAACCCTTGCTTCACCTGATGATGCCTTAGGTATGTATATATGCGCTGGACTTGACTACCTAACTATAACAGTTATTGAGTACCTAGGTAGGCAAAATAAAAAGCAATTATAATTACGCGGGTTGGCAAAGAATGTATGTGCCGAATACCCCCACGCATGATATGAATGAAGAAGGTTGGTTCGTCACTCTCCATGTTGCCTTGCCCCCCTTTTCCTTACTTCCAAGTAGCGACCATTGAGCGGCATCCATCCATATATCAATTATTATGGAAAATAACGGAGATCAATCTCGAAGACTCAACAAGTACCTGCCTGTACATGGATAATACATAAGCAGATTGAGCGGCTAGGAGGTTGTTGGTCGGCTTTGGTGATGAAGCAGAGACCAGCGCAGAAGGCATCGAATCTGACTTTTCTTTAGTTGAAAGAAGATATATCGCTACTCCAGCCGCTCTATCAAGGCCTACTGGATTAACGAAAGAGCTTATTTATCCAGCATAATGCTCTTAATAGAGTCTCATAGGAGCAACTTCTGCTTGTCGTGCCAACCGGGAAGGGGGGGTGTGGGTAAGCTTCGAGAACTACGATCCAGCAAGATCTCACATCCTGCCTACTATGCTCTTCCCATACATAGGCTATTATTCAATTAGTTCACTGGTGCATCGCGGTATTGGTTTTCGATATATCATCGCTACTTGGTTGAGTCCCGGATTGCGGTAGGTAGTAGATCAATCGGTACAAGTTGGCGGTCGCGTCCTCCGGTCTGTGGATATCTCGGACCTCCGATGTAACTTGTTTTAAAGTGCTATACGGCTATCACTGCGGTGCTAATGACGATATTATATTGCTTTAGTGCTGTAAACAAATACCTATATGATATATCCAACCCCAAACGTCTATTTCGTTTAAGAAAAATAAATAAGATGCAGGTAGATTAAATACATATCATACCTATCTATATCAGAGCCGAACAGAACGAACGCCACGGGCAAAAATTTAGGAAAAAAATTCGATGGCGGTGCTGGGAATCGAACCCAGGTCTGCTCAGAACATTGAAGCTTTTACCACAATGAGCTATTCATACCACTAAACTACACCACCGATGAGTCGGACCTTGTGTTTGAACATTGTATTCCCCTTCCGGGGGAATACAATACAACCAGCGAGGTCCGCTTTTTGAAAAAAGGCCACTTACGACCTATTATAACCCTATTTTTGAGGCCCATACCGGAGCACCGCGCTGCCGCGCGGTGCGCACACGGCCCGGATGGTGGGTAGGTGCAAACACAAGGTCCACCTCATCGGTGGTGTAGTATAGTGGTTAGTTAGTATGGCGTGTTGTGGTTGATGCTACAATATTCCGCGCTTGGGCAAGTCGACGTTTGAGACCTTCTAGGTTGACTAGTTGAATAGGTAATGACCGATTGAGGGAATGAATCGACAAAGGTGTACCCAATATATATATATATATATATATATATATATAATTATATCACACATACATACATACTACTTTCATATTTCCACCACTGTGACAAAGGGTCTGAGCTTAGAATGTATATTCAAATTCATTTAATAATTCTTATAGGTCCTAAGGTCCTTAATTCCTTCTCAAATTAAGTAAGAATCTTTAAACTTATTTATGCTTAAATCTAATAATATAATATACATTAAGCTTCTTAAATAATCTTATGTTAATGCAGCTTGCATATTAGGTGCTATCCTTTTAACTTATATGTACTAATAATATTCTATCACTTTATCCTAACCGCCAATTATAACCGTATAAGTTAATTAATAACCTTTTAACACCAATCCTTATATAATATCATCTCCTCTTTTCTTAAGGCTTGTTTTTAAGCGCTATTTTATATTAACGCTAATAAAATTACGGATAATTTTTTTTAAACTTACGGATTCATAAGCTTACTTAAATTTTATGCATAAAATTACTTAATTATCGCTTTTATCAAAGCTTTTTCGAAATAATTATATGATTTTTATATTTAATTTTTTTTTATAAATTAATTTTTTCATTTAATTAAATACTTTATTTTTCTTTAAATTAATAAAAAATTTATAATTTTTTTAATATTATAATTTTTTATTTTAATAAAGATTATTTTTCGTAAAATTTAATTAAAATTAAATAATATTTAATTATTAACGTAATAAGGTTTTATAAATAAAACGTAAAAAAAATTATAAATTTTTCATTTTTTAAATAAAATAAGTTTAATAGCGGTAAATGAAATTATCTTTTAAATTTAAAAAAAACCGAATATTTTTTTATTTAACTTTTTAATTAATCGTTTAATTTTAATATTTTTAGTATTTAATATTATTAATTAGTTATTATAATAAATTAAAGCTTTTTTTTTTTTACGGTTAACTTATTTTTTTATGCGTTATTTGCTCGTTTTTAAATGTTTTTTAATTTTATCGTATATAAAGGTTATTTAATATATGTATAATTTGTTTTTTAAGTTATAAAAGGCGTTAAAAAAAGGATTATAAGCTATAAAATAATATTTATAATTTAAGTAAAAAAAAGTGAATTAAATTAAAAAAAATATAATATTATTATATATAAATTTAACGATTAATAAAAGGTTTTTTTAATTTAATATTTTATAATTAATAAACGTTTATAAATAAATTTTAAAGAATTAATTAAATCGTTTTATTTATTTATTAATTTAAAAATAAAAAATTATATTTATTTTAAATTTAATTTTTATTAATTTAAAGAAATTTTTTTATAAATAAATAATAAACTTAA